CCTTTACTTCTGCTCAGCAAATAAAGCTGCATTTTTGAGTCAAGTTCCCATTTTGGTGAGTTTGCGTTCTCCTGCTTGCACACAGCCGTTTTGTGACATACTTGCTTTCACAATGTCGTACTGTATTCAGAATAAGCAAACACCACCCTTTCTGTAACTCTCTGGCTGTTAAAAGCAAACGATTGTGGGAAGATTCACTTGCATTAAGTCCACCAAAGAGCAGTGGAAATTATGCTTTTCAGGGGTCAAATGTTGACTGAGTGACAAAGTTTGTGTGACTGCCGAAGGAAACTGCAGTGAGTTCACCGCAAAGAGGAACAATTGTGGGGAAAAAAAATGGCTGCAGTGAAAGGTTTTTTTAATACTTATGACCAATGTGAAACCAAGAATAGCACAAACCTACACCTACGCAGTACCCATTAACGATTTTTGATACGTTTTGACTGCCAACATGTCATCTGTGTGTGCAGAGCTCTATCCAGGAGAAAGGCACTGCTGCCAAGAGCACGATGAAAGGCTGCATAATTTTGTCTCCCGGATTATAAACCACTCCGCCTGGTAACTCCAAAGTTCTCTAATTTACACAATGCGTCAGATGGCCTTTAGTCTTATTAATATCCTGGTTTTGTTCAGCTCGTGTTTATGCAGCTTCACTGTGAGCAAAGCCACACTGAAATGTTCATCCACTGCAGTTCTTTAACAGCTTCAGGGGTGTTACTACTATTGTTTTCACCTTCTGAGTGTGTGCATGTACCATCATACCCAAAACATAGCCATCATGGTCCCTCGTGCCCTGATACTTCTGCCTTTCCTTCGTTTTTCTCCCCTTTTCTTTGACTTTTCCTCACTTATCCTCCAACAGTTCCTTTGTCTCTCTTCCCTGAGGTCTGGTGTGTGAGCAGGTAAGTCTTACTACAGCTATGAGGTCATGCAACCGGCTTCGACTGGATCTCTGGCTAGCACACCTGCTCTCCCTCGGCTTATCAGCCAGCTGCATATTTAAGAGTCGTTCACTCAACATCAGGTTATACTGCTTCAGTAGTGCTAACAGCTTCCAGCCCAGCTTAGTGTCTTTGCGTCTGGTCTCCTCTTTAATATTCTCCAGTGGGCTCAGCTCTGGAACAGCCCCCTCTGCTGCACTCCATCCATCATCATCAACAAAGTTCTCCCACTAGTTTTGTTCTTCATCTGTATGCTAAACGATTCCAGTAACTTGTCACATAATTGTTATAGGGTAACTGTCTGTTCATGACTTTGTAAACTATCTAAACCTTCACTGTCACATTTGCAGGTAGAAAAAAGCAATATCACCTGCTCTATAAGATTTTGCCACAGAATGTATTGCTATAATGTGTTAAGTGTATTTTTAATTCCTCTTGAAGATGTAGTGCTATCTCGTGAAATTCAGTGTGTATCGATTACATTTTTCATGTAAATTACCAAACCTTGCTCTTCAGTTTATGAGCTACGGAAGAATGTCCTCCTTTTTTTTTTTTTTTTTTGTCTCTCATAAAATTCTCCAGTAAAAATATTGTTTGGCATCCTTGTTCCTTTTTCTGAATTATTGCAAAACAAGATTAATAAATGAGGATTTTGAATAGGAACCAAGCAAATTGCTCAGGACAATTAAGTTTAAATCAGTTCATATTTCTATTCACAGTGAAGACCATCCACTGAGCACTGAGGCCTCGTTAGAGCAGTAATCATTAAGGTTATTAGGAAATAAATCTCCTTGTCTTATCTTCAGTAAAAGTATTCAAATAATATTAAATATTATCCCTGCGATCTACAGCGCTGAACCATTTAGTGTCAATGTCATTATAAGTATCACTTTCACACAATGCATATCTTATTATAGACAAAATTTTGATGAGCTGAAGGAGAAAACTTAATAAAACTTGCCTCATGATGGCCCAGTATTAGATTTCATATCACTGTGATAGCAGTGATAACAACATGAAACAGTCACGTCAGCTCTCACTGTGTGGAAAGAAAAAAGATGATCTGATGATCCAGGATACCAACATTAATTCCTGAAATAGGAGAGCTGTGTAATGCAAAGACAATGCCGACACACACACGCGCACCCACAGACACACACAGAAATACACAAACATGTTACATTTAGTGAAGTTGCGTGGACAGTGTGTGGGATGTCAGAACTGAAACCACACAGTCAACAGTTGCAGGCTATAAAATTTGAACTTTGAATTGTGTGTCTGTGTTAAGGTGAATGTGTGTGTGTGTTTGTGGCCATACAAAACACTCCACTGGAAAGATGTGAGAGGAACATTTCGTAACAGGAACATGCCATTATTCATCTAGATAACATATCTTGATATTGGGTGGCGCAGTGGTATCATTGCCTCAATCTAGATCTCATCTAGATTATCATATTAAGATTTGGGACACATCGTCAGTGGTGGACCTTGGATTCATCGGGTGTTTCAGCCATTATCACTAGACACCCTCATCCAAGGAGGCCCTGCCGGGGTTGATCAGGCCCTGGAGTGTGTCACTGGTTCATGTTAAATTCGTATTTCTCTTATTCTTTCTTCTGTTTAGTTTTCTACAGTTTATTTTCTCCTATCTATTCACTGCAACTGAGAAATAATACGTCTTTAGCATTTATGGAACCTCACTTCTTCAGAGGGATAGAAAAGGTGATAAAGAGAAGTAAGACAAACGGGACAAGATAGGAGAGAGCAGAAAACAGAGCCGGAAGGGGCCAGCTCTGGCTTCCCACACCTTCCCGCCGGATCGGGCTGTACGCTCCACCTCCCAACTGCCTCCCAGAGAAGGGAAGAAGAGCAGAATATTTTATTTTCTCTCCTGGTTAGCTGACTGCCTTAGCTGCCCAAGGGATGTCAGCCCTTTTTAACCATAGCCAGTGACTGGTCCTCTCAGCAGTGTTAGCTAATTCTCTTATAGCCTGCCGTTGTGCCTGTCCTCTGATCCCTATCTCTCAAAGCAGTGGAGAGCAGTGAGTAGTCAGATGTAAGGGGTCTGGAATTAGTTTTGAGGTCAGATTTTGAGAAAAATAATCTGGTGCCATCAATGAAGGACTGAAATAATTGTCATTGCACCAGAAAAATGCATGTCTGGGATAAAGGAGACACTTGGACATCTTGTTTTTGGCACAAACCTCTGTTAGACACCATGGTATAACCTTTGATTCTGGTTTTACTTTGGATGCACATGTCAATGTCTGTTGTTCATTCCTGTTTTCATCATCTAAGAAATATTGCTCCATTAAACTCCATTTTGTCACATTCTGAACTGGAAATTATTATTCATGCTTTTGTTTCGTCACAATTGAATTACTGCAATGCACTATATACATCTTAGCAAAACCTCCCTAGAACGGTTGCAGGTTGTTTAAAATGCTCCAGCAAAATCCTCCCAGTTTTGACATGTAACTCCAATCTTGATGCAGCTACATTGGCTTCTGGTTTATTTCAGAGCGCATGATTCTTTTACTGACTTGGAGAGCTTTTCACGGACAGGCACCAGGTTATATGAGAGGGTTTCTGCACCTATATTACTTATAAAACAAATGAAAAATGTTTAAATAATTCTTTACTTAAAATAAAAAAAAAAGAATCTTCTACAGGGAAGATGTGGCATCTCGTACTGGTACAAGGCTGAGTGGCAGCTTCATACATAAAGAAAATTACAGTTGTTAAGGCAACAGAAAATTAAAAATTAAAGAAAGTTAAAAGTCTTTAATGTTTAATAGACACATTTAATAGGGCATAACTAACTAATTTGATTTCAGAGTCAAGAATGACACCAATATTTATTGCATAAGGCTTTACATTCAGTGACAGAGAACCAAGGCAATTGATAATGCTGGGAAACTTTATCGAAGACTTGTGGAGAGGCAAAAAGCGTGAAATGTACATGGTAGATTGGCGTGTCTATTACACATTTTTCTGTGATACTGGGTTGAAAAGACATATACAGCTGAAAGTCATCAGCCTAAAAAATATAAGAAATGTTTTTAAAAGAAAAAATAATGTCAGCTAAAGGAAGCATGTAGAAAGAAAGTAATAATGGCCCCAAGATTGAACCTTGTGGAACCCCATAGGTTAGTGAGAAGGTCCTATCAGATAAGTAAAAAGAAAACTAGTCTGACGCAGAGACAGAAAAAACAGTTAAAACCTTATGCCTATTAAGTAAGGTTTTATGGTCAGTGGTATCAAAAGCTGCACTAAGATCAAGTAAAATAATTACAGAACAATCTCCTGCATGAAAAGCCATTAACAGATCATTATAGACCTTCAAGAGAGTGGTCTCAGTGGAGTGCTGCTTTTGAAAGTCAGACTGAAAGGGGTAAAAAATCAGTCATTTGCATAATAAAGATCTGAAGTGATTTTCTACCATTTTTTTCTAATAATTTACTAGCAATTTTTAAATATGGTGATAATTATTACTTGCGCTGGTTTAGTTTTCTTTAGTAGGGGAGTTACCTCAGCATGTTTAAAATAGGATGGAAAACAACATTGCCTCAGTGAGATGTTAATGATAGACAGCAATAAAGGACCAATGCTGATGAAACTCCCAGATAGGATAGAAGAAGGTAATTTGTCTAAGGAGCACTTCAATATTACTGAAGTTAAGTCATTAAGTGAAATTGGTGAAGAAGAAATAAATGACTCAGTGCACTGAGGACCATCTTCATAAGGTGAGCGACTTGAGGAGATTTTCGATCTCAGGTTCATCGCCTTATTTACACAGTGATTGAGAAATGTGTCACAGTCGTCATCAGAAAGTAGCGCGGCATGCTGATGTTGAAGAGAAACAATGTGGTTTATAGTATCAAATAATACCCTGGGATAAATCTTATGACAGTTCATAAGATTATAGAAATATAAGGATCTAGCCTTTTTGACTGCCTCATTTTAAGAGCATAGGAGCTCTTTGAAGAATTCACAATGGTCTACAAAACCAGTGGACTTCCAAAGACGCTTTACTTTTTACAGGAAATTCAGAGGTTGATTATGTAACCAGGGTATGAGACTTATATGAGACATGTTAGCAACTGAGCAAGCATCACTTTGCATAATTTTAATAAAAACACCCACTGGGGCACGTGTAGAGTCCAGACAGAGAGGTACAGCTCACTGCTGTGCCTCTCTGTTGACTTCCTCTGTCCAGAATTTTAACCAGAATTTTCAAATTTGAATTTATCACTCCATCAGACCTGTTGCCACTGATTTTTAGTCCAGTTCTTGTGTAATTTAGTACACTTCAGCCTTTTCTCTCTGTTTCCCTTACTTAAGAATGGTTTCCTGATTGACAGCTACCTTTCCAATGAGACCATTTCTGATTAGGCTTCAGTGAATACTAGATTGATAAACTGAAGGGTCTGTGGTGCCTGTGTCCTGTGTCAGGGTTTGATGTACTGCTTACTATTTCTTAAGGACATGACTTCCAACGAGTGTAGATAGTTTTGATAGTTTCTAGGCCTGCCACGTCTTCTTTCATCTTTGAGTTTCCAGAAGGAACGATCAATATGAATGCAGAAGAGGGTTCTAAAAGAATTAAGGTAGTCTAGCTTCCTGAGTTTGAGCACCGACACCGTCATCTCAGCCTAGATTCGCTATAGCCTCCATTACTTTATTTTTATATCATTTAAATGGCATTCCAAGCCACAGAAACATCATAAAAGAAATCAGTCTCATGAGCTAAGAGATTCATGGCTTCCATGACTTCAACCTGACTGCCTTCAGCTTAATTTCATTTGCAGACAGAGTTGTATTGATCTTCTTATCTATGAAAACAAATAAGTGTATTTCCCAAAATGTACATAACACAGCACAATAATTCCAGTTTCCATTAAGTGGATAAGAGAGTAAACACTAAGGAAGTACCTGAATTACTAATTCTAAAAACAGATGACATGAAGATGAATGAAGAAAAATAAGAGAGACTGAGAGAGGGAGGCGGATGGATGTGGGAAGGACAGTTATTGAATCAGGAAGTGCAGAGGATTAGTGAGGAGAAGGTGAGGGCAACTAAGAAGAGGATGAAGAGTAGAAAAGCAGTTAGTCCTGATGACATACCTGTGGAGGTACAAAAATGTTTAGGAGATAAGGCAGTGGACGATTGTTTATATTGTTTAACACAATTCTGGAGAGTGTGAGGATACCTGAGGAATGGAGAAGAAGTGCACTGATACAGATTTTCAAGAACAGGGTTGATGTTGCCACCTGTAGCAACTACAGAAGGATAAAGCTGATGAGTCATACCAGGAAGATATGAGAAAGAATTGTTGAAGCTGTGTCAAGGAGAGCGGTGATGAACAGTGAGCAGCAATATGGCTTCCATGCTGAGAAAGAGCACTACAGATGTGGTGTTTGCTTTGAGA